GCAGAACATCCCCCTTGTGTTACCTACCAGCTTTGTGTTCTTGGGGAACCAGGGCATAAAACTCAGAAAAGACCTCCCCCTCCCCCTCCCCCTCCCCCCAGCCTCTACTTGAACTAAAGCTGATGAGAAGGAAGATTTACAAAAAAGCAGTGAAAAGGGAGGGGCAGACGCACCAAACCCCTCCGGACAAGGGTGACAGAGTCAAGGAAATACCCCGGGCTCACACGCAGTGAAGACAGGACAGGGCAGGATCAGTATACGGAATGAAGAACAGGAATTGCAAGGCAAGAACCGAACTGAACTCTGGGAGGGACACAGAAAGCAAGAAAGCAGTGCCTGATGGGAAATCTCTGCTCCTGGTGCTAATGAATCCACACCCAGATCAGTAATTACCAGACCAGTTTGGTAATTGTAGATTGTGAAATACTAGAACTGGAAAGGACCTGAACAGGTCATCGAGTCCAGTCCCCTGCCCTCACAGCAGGACCAAGCACCTTCTAGATCATCCCTGAGAGATGTCTGTCTAACCCAGGGGTGGGTAATAATTTTTGATGGGGGGGGGGTGTAGATTCGACAGGTGCATTCCAAGAATTTGGGAAGTGGTCAAGGGCTGCACTCTTCCACGTTACAGGAGGACATGCAGAGTTTGGGATGGAGGTTGGGTGCAGCAGGGAGCCTGCAGTAAGGGACTGGGGTGCAGGAGAGGGTGTGGGGTCTGGGAGGGGATATGGGTGAAGGAGGGGGATAGAGGGTTTAGGTTGTGACCTGGGGCAGAGGATTGGGGTGCAGGATCTTGGAGGGGATCTAAGGGCAGAGGGTGTGGTTATGTGGAGTAGAGAGGCAAAGGATTGCGATGCAAGAGGCAGGCTCTGGTCAGGAAACTCTCCTGCTTGACAACAGGCAGCTCCCATTGGTCAGAAACCGGCCAATGGGATTGTGCTGGGGGCAGGAGCAGCATATGTTTCAAACAGAGCTCAGCAGCAGCCGCTTTTCTCAGCAAATAAGGGGGCAGCTTTTTAGGAGTCCGAGTTTCCCTTCACTTCCAGGTGTTTGTGTCTCAGTTTCCCTTGTTCCTCACCTCTGCGGGTGCCTCCTTCCTCACTAGCCAGGCAATCCGAAACCCACGGCTCTTCCCCTCGTTCCAGCCGGGCGACCAGGTCAGGCTTTGGAACAGGGAATCCTGCAGAGGGTGAAATCAGGCAAGGTCAGAAAGCACGGAGTCAGGGGAAAGTATTTGTCGCGAGGAACATGCCCTGAGTGTAACCGGCCCCTGCGTGGGACAGTGGGAAATCAGACCCCTTGGCAAGCAGAAGACTTTGGGAGGGGGCATTGTCACAGCCTCATGAGGAGTCTCAGGGTAGACGTGCTCTGGGGGACTTGCTCTCACACACACACAAGCTCAGGTGGTAAAGTCCGGCCTATTTCCAAGTCTGCAGAACCTAGAACCCTCCCCAGGGCTGGAGACAGTCCCAGGCAGGAAGCTGAACCGGGCGTGGAGGAGAAATAATACAGGAAGGGCAATTCCCTGCTTCTGGCCCCTTGAAAACAAGGGAGATGGGGATGAACAAGCATGTCCATTAAGTTTCTGACCCTGTTCCCTCGAAGGGGGTACGGAGATGAAAGAGTCTCTCCTGTTGGAGCTGGGGGCTACCTGAGCCTCCCCTGCTAAATCCACCTGCCCAGGGCAGAACCTGAGCAGATTCAGACACGCGGCCCCACGGGAATCTCTTACCCAGCGAGGTCACCATCTCATAGTTCTCCCGCATGACGTCCCTGTAGAGGGCTCTCTGAGCGGGGCCCAGCAGAGCCCCCTGCCCCTGGGTGAAATACACAGCCACCTCCTCGAAGGTCACCGGCACCTGGAACAGCCAAAGTCCCCCACTCAGCACCGGCTGCCCTACCCCACAATCCCGCGATTCACAGGGGAGGGGCCCACAACAGCGGAATTCCCCCCTCCCGTTCAGAGCAGCCAGGAGGGGGTGGGAGAAGGGGAGAGCTCCTTGCCCCCAGCAGACAGAGCAGGGCAGGAGCTTCTCATTTCCCACATGGCTGCCGGCCACAGGCTGCTCCGGGAAGCAGAGCTCTGAGCTGGGCACAGGGACAGGGACCAGCAGCCTCCGGCCAGTGGGGTCAGGCTCCGCCACTGGGAGTCAGCTCAGCCCTGCCCCGTGGGGTGTGTCCTGGCCCAGCAACAGGGGAACGTCCCCAGCAGCCCTGCCAAGGGGCCTGTCCCGAAAATCTGGCCCAGGCTGCTCATATCCCAGCAGGTGTATCACCCAGTAGCCCTCCCTTCCTCCCTGAGTGTTTCCTGCATCCCCCTCACCCCCCGCAGCTCCCTGAAAATCCCCTACCTGAGCTGGCTCCATCCCAGCCATTCCCAGCCCTGTCTCTGTAAGACGGGATGCTCTGGAGCGAAACGGGGACGCGATTCCTCAGCCTGCCAGGGCAAGAGGGGGAGGTTTCAGAAGGGGTCTGGGTCCATGTCAC